TCTCTCTCTCTCTCTCTCTCTCTCTCTCTCTCTCTCTCTCTCTCTCTCTCTCTCTCTCTCTCTCTCTCTCTCTCTCTCTCTCAACCACACACACAGACACACACATACACGCACACTGCCTAGCCCGCATAGTGCCACACTCTCCACACAGTGTGAACGGCCCCACATACTACGCCCCACCTCACATAGAAGCAGCATCCAATGCTGTGCTGTCGGCAAGCCATGACCTTAAGGGTCAGCTGTCCAATTATGGGTGAGATTGAGGCTGAGGAACAACGCCAGCTGGCAGCCGAGGCTACCCGCGTACAGGCTGAAGAGGCAGCAGCAGCAGAGCAGCTGCGGCTACAGGCCGACGCAGATGCCCAGGCTCGCCGCAAGGAAGCCCAGGATCTGCTGCAGCGGCATGAAGCCAACAGCATCGACAGACTCAAGTTCTGGCACTTTGAACCGAACGGCGACGAGGCAACACCGGAAGAGAAGCACAAGGAGTTCCTCTCCAAACTCGTGACAAGGTTGTTGTACTCTTGCAACTACCAACAGTCAGAGTTGGAGAGACAGTACCAGGACCTGACGCAACAGCATCAGGAGTTGGCAAAGCTCCGCCGCATAGTGCAGAGCCACGAGGATGCAACTCGGGCACTCAATGCCCGATTGCTGGACCTGGAACAGGCTGTACCTGGACCAGCTGCTGGGGCTTCCAGCAGTGCATCCTCTAGCCGCCAACTGGAGGAATGCGTTGACCACGTAGTGGCAATGCTCGGCGACATCAGCACCTTCGCTGCGCGGACCACCATCAGCAGTCAGCTGCATAACTTGAAGACCGAGGTCCAGCAGCTGCAGTCGACGAACACGGAGGACAATCCGAAGATGTACAAGATGCCAACTTTCCAACTGAACAAGTTCGACGACTACACGCAACAGGATCCGGTCCTCTGGTGGGAAGCATTCACAACGCAACTCAGGATTCTGCCTGTAGCCAAGCATGCGTACATCGGCGCCCTGTTCCTGAACTCAAAGGGCGGATGCCAGACCTGGTTGAGCCACCTGGCAACCTCTCACGGCATCGACGTACCAGACTTGAAGGACAAAATCACATGGGAGGAACTGACACGGCTGTGGAAGAAGCGATTCATCGTCGACGACGCGCCGGCACTCGCCATCACCCATCTGTTCACCATGTCACAAGGCAACACTGCAACACGGGATTGGCTCACGGAGTGGCAGAAGATTGCGGCGGTGCCCAATCTGGAATTAGAACTCACACATCTACGCCGCGAGTTCTACAACAGGTCCTGTGCGGCATTGAGCCAGGCTCTTGGTGATCGCGAGCAGTACTCCACTTTCGCCGAGATTATCGACAAGGCGAGAGAGATCATCAAGACCAACAGGTCAGCTGCACACGAGAGGTCAACATGGCAGCCGGCCTATGTGGAGAAGGTACAAACTGCTCCGCGACAGCAGCACTTCGCTGCAGTCCAGCCGGATAGTGGAGATAACCCAGCAGCCACTCCAGCATCAAGTAGCGGAGATAAGGTGGCTGCTGTCCAGCCGCAAAGCAACAACAAGTCCCGCAACAATGGGAAGGCGAAATCCGCATCGCAGGCAGGAAATGGACAGCCAGTACAAGTTCCATAGGTCAAGTTTGGCCTGACCGAGGCGAAGTACAAGGTCCGCGGCCGCTACGGCAGCTGCTATTGGTGCAACAGCACCAAGCACAAGACCTCCCTGTGCCAGGATCAGGGCAAGGAGGATGTGCG